ACTGCCGCACTAAAAAGCATGCCAGAAAATGCAACCCATTCAGTACAACACAGAATAACTAGACACTTCAGCATTTACCATGAAACCACCACTGCGTCTTCTTAGGATTCTTGTTACACGTCCTAACATAGAGTGCGTTGTCAGAAGGTCGCTTCTAAAACAATACAATACCATGGCGATAATTCGACGTAACGAAGGCGTAACACGATAGATACCTTTTCTTTGCAACTAGACAACATTGACATGATAGACAGGCATACAGACTGCACACTCAACGCCGGCGTCCAATCTTCGGCCAAAATCGATAGACATATGTGGCCGTTGCTGTACACATGTGGATGGACCGGAATGTTGTGTCCAATAAATATCACCTAAATGTTGCCGTTTTATCAAGAACAACGCATCATGGTAAATAAACTGTTCGAAATGAGTTTCTAGATTCTACAACAAACAACACAACTACGTTGGCGATGGCTTTAAGGGCCAACGAACGGGCGAATACGCGTGAAGTTCTGTTGCCTGTGCAACCAGTAGGAGCATATCTACTCATAATCATGACTTACCCTCACTCCACCCTCGACGTGGATGGCCAGCGATGATGTTGAGCATGGACGCGTTACCAAGTATCACATTTCGTTTGCGCCATCACAGGTTGATCTACATGATATACTGACAGCAGATCAACCGAGGAAACCAAAGGTTAGTTAGGTAGTTGTGCGAACGTGCAGTGAAATGTGTCATAATCATCCTTCCTTTCCACACTCACGCAGATTAAACAGTTATGCACAGCAAATAACAGAACCTAGTCGTCTACTGCGTACAGGTTGTTACTACTGGCTTACAGGATTTGTCTTTGCTCATCACTACACTTCGTCAGTAAATCAGTTTTGGACTTCTGCTCACTCGGAATCCTTCAAAAAAACATTGCCAGATCTTTCGCTGGCAATGTTTGCTGGCATTCCTCTCACATATTCACACTACTTTAGTCAGCGCTCCTCTACTCTGTCTACCGTCGTACACTGCACGTGTAATCCTTATCGATCAAGAAATCGCGAACTGTATTCACCCTGGAGATTCTTTCGATTTTCCTCAGCCAGTTCATTACTTGCAGTATGCGTGTCTAACTTTCCCGTAAGGTTTATATTCTAAGCCATCGAATTTACAGGCTATCATCGTCCATCACTGATATGATCAGGTGAACACACCACCCTCTTGGTGTGTGGCGAAGATACAGAGATTAATTTTCATAAAGTAATCGCAACTGCCATAAACATCTGCAATGCAATCTCACCGCCCGTCACTGAATTGGCAGACCACGAGATACACATACGAGAGAGCTAACTCGAGCAGACGTAAACGTACCAACTGTAAAAAGTTTACTGCTATCATCACTACAAGCCAACATTTGTTGATCCAAAGCTTCTAATGCTAAATAAGGGTGATTATGATGGGTTCTATGCCGCATGTATCTACTCACAGAATGAGGTTTCAGTGATCAGTATTCCCAAGTGCACGTCCGTTACCAATTAATTCTTGTCAAAATGTCGTATAATCGAAACTAAATGTCACCCACTTCTCGACATCAAGGGTTCACCTTCCTGTCTCTGACAGTAGCCTACATCTGTACACAAACTGTGATAGTCTTTTCGTCTGCTTTGCCTCTAGCACGATGCTAATATCGCTTTTCTCTGTTAAATGGCATGGTCTTGAGATTTTGACACCGCTTTCAATTCCCAGTTCGAACCAGGGATTGATATTGACTTTACATGCTATGTTACAAACACTTTACATATACTCGTGCAAGACACTATTGTCACCGAATATGCCAGGATCACTGGGAAACCACAATCTGATTACTGTTTCCATATAGCAAACTCATCAGTTTCCTTCATCATTCACACTGCGAACCTAAACAGACACGAAGAAGGTGTGCAGCTTAGAGAATGCCAAATTTCAAATCATAAAAATGAAGCCAAGCCGTGATGGCTTGTGTTAAATTTCCTGGCTAAGTTAGGTCGTGCTTCTAACAGCTTCACGCCAGCACTCGTCGGGCAGTGCGACGAGATGGATCGACTCTGAAGTCGGCAGTTTAGCGTTAACATAACTTCAAAGAAGACTCACTAACGCTAATCGTGTCATCACTGATGTGCCCCTGCACTGCACTCGATTCAGAGGTAATAGTACGGGACTGACTCACTGGTCCCTTCGCTCAGTTGCTGACATGCCTACTGCTACCTAATCTGCCTGTCTAGACTGCAGGTATTTTGCTTTTTAATCGTCATCTTTCGAATATGCTGATATCATGACACGTGGAGTAGCACTGCATAACTTCGTGAATATCGCAAAGTTAACCAGTCTAAATGGCCGACGATCACTGCTACTGATGTTGTACTGGCCTGTCATAAGCGCTCTATAATACACCACTGCTATCCTTTGCAGGTTTGTCTCATTCAATATATTCGCTGAAACGTGAGCAGTACTGTCTGATGGAGCAATAAGCAAAGTTGACTGGAATGCACGAGCTTTATATCGTGTACTAAATATAAATACTAAATATAAATTCAGAGAAACCATGTTATGAGTAATTTGAAAACCAACTGGTTCGATACCAAATTCTCAACAAGATTCCGACCAAAAACGTGAGCTCAGAGTCAGGGAACGACGTTCTGGAAAAACATCGTCGAAACTGACTTACGCTTCGAAACCAGCTACGACTGTTGTCCTACTGAACTGCGAACATCTCCATGAATCTTTTGTGAGAGAACATCCGTTTTATCGGAATGCCTTCGGAGAAACAGCGGATCGTCGTGTCAGGGCGAACGGACATCGTCGAGAAGAATCGCAGTTGTATACTTTCGCTACATTTTCGGCTATTTAGGAAGTAAATCGATGGATACTCTGCAGCATCAACAGAGTTCGTTAAATTAAACCCACCTCAAATTTGCCCTTTCTTGTTGTATGCTATCCTGTAAAATAAACTCGACAACATCTCAGTGAATAGCTGCCCAGAGTTTCATTTCATTCAGAGAATAACGAGGCGCAAGGGGCTGTACAATATGCAGTGAAAGCTGGTCCTGGAGGAGTTATGCTTTATTGAATATACTTCGGCGTACGAACATATTTTGATGCTAATACGGTAATGTTTAAAAATATATGAACGGATTCGACATCAAAATAGTAAGAATTTATCGCGAATTGCTAGGGTACAGAGATTACGTCTTTCTGAATTGCCTTTCACAGATCCACTTCAGGAGGGAAACAGAATTCAACGATAATTTCAGATGCACTGAAACGCCATGTATTACTTGGCCCCACTATTGGGGCATTACCTTTAGGCAGATAACGTTGCGGATAATACCTAGAAACGCGTGTGTTAAAATACATTCAACCTGTCCATTTTTGCTAAAGTTATACAACTTTACAAACAGTAAAACAGTTTTACGTCATGCTTTTCGATGAGCATGTACACAATGCACACGCCGACTATCGCGATCGACTAGTAAGGCTTTACTAGTAACTTTAATGACTTAGAACTAAAACAATTCAAAAACATCGATCTACAGAAAACGTACTTCGGGAGACGAAAACGGATAATTTTCGCTAAATGTAAACTGCAGGGTGAAGCTCTCACCGTCGTACAGTGTGTTCGACGCACCTTTAATTTCTACGTTCCATCTAAACCGTAAAAGAGAATTACCGACAGCATGGAAAACAGCGATTAATTTATCGCTTACTGCTTAAGAGACGAAACGGTGTCAGTGCTAAGCCTGATGCCTGGTGGAGGTTCCTGAGCCAGCTGCACCAGCTCTTTTTGAAGTCGCTTCTCCAGAGGGCTAGACATCTGCAAGTGCTGACAAATCACAGTCTAGCGAAGGACTGCCGATAGCCCAACCGTTTCGATTGGTCAGCACAGTTCATTTCACTTCTTAAATCAAAAAATATTACCAAACATGTTAATACGCCCTTCAAGAACAAACGGCAAACGGCAGCTGTCAACTGACCAACCTTCTAGAACATTACCTTCACGCTCGACAGCCAGATTCAGTGACAGACCGTACTAATGATTTTCACGTAATATACAAATGGCATAGCTACGCGAAATAAGCGCAATTTTACTACACCAGTGACAACTGACAGATAACTGCTTTAATACCAGATTTTGCGACGCATTGGCTTCACATCTAATTGCCTACAGAAGGTAGAGATGGCATTTAAGAAAGCAATGGTTTTATAATTTCTAAGCATCTGCAATGAGTATTAATCTGACGCTCCAGTACATGACATCCTCGGACTTTCATTTTCTGAGAACAGATTAACTGAGATCGAATCTTTCTTACAGTTTGCCAATTTATCAGTGCCTTAGCACTTTATTCTAGGATTAATTCGCTCGTCAACAAAACGCCCAGGCTCTGGACTCCTGAACCTCAATGGATGGAAGCTGTTCTATTCAGGCGTC